TAAACTTGAAGATTTGAGGTGGGTATTCAGATCTTGGAGGTGACTAAGCTACAGGAAGAGACTGGGGGAGACTACAAAGCTGGTGCTGCTTGAGGCAGTGTCACCGAGACGTTTCCAAAAGATTTTGGCGTATTTAATCCATAGGCTGTTCTCAGCTGTTAGCTTGGCACTTTCTACTGAGACTTTGGGGAGACATTTCATGTGTGGAACTGCTCCTGTGCTCCTTGGGGTTACTTGTTTTCCTTGGTGGGATGCTGGAACCCAGCCCCTAGGCCACAGGCTCAGGAGCCTCAGCCTCATTCTGCACCATGACTTTCCTCTGTTGCCCTCATAGCTGGAGAGCACCTCGTTACATCCTGGCCATGTCGGAGGCCCGGCACGACCGTGTGCGCAAGAAGTACCACATCCTGGTGGAGGGGGAAGGGATCCCACCCCCCCTCAAGAGCTTCAAGGAGATGAAGTTCCCAGCAGGTGGGTCGGGGGGAGCTCCAGACAGGGAAGGGGGAAGCTTTGTGCTGGGAAGTGCACATCAGTGAGAGAAGCTGTTGAATGGAGTGGGCCTCTTCATCAGGGACTAGCGATAGGACAAGGGATAATGGTTTTAAACTTAAACAGAGGAAGTTCAGGTTAGATAGAAGGAAGAAGTTCTTTACTGTGAGGGTGGTGAGGCTGGAACAGGTTACCCAAAGAAGTGGTAAAATGCTCTGTCCCTGGTGGTGTTCAAGGCCAGGTTGGACAGAGCCTTGGGTGACATGGTGTAGTGTGAGGTGTCTCTGCCCATGCAAGGGGCTGGAACTGGATGATCTTCAGGTCCCTTCCAACCCAAACCAGTCTGTTATTCTATGATTAATGCTTGGTGTTAGTGGGGTCACAGCTTGAATTCCCAGCAGTGGCTGTGTCGCTTGGTTTTTCCCCAAGCGGTTTTGGATGCTGGTGCGAGAGCTGCTACTGGGACATGAGGAGGGAAAGAAGGGGAAGACCTCATGTAACAAACGTGCATGTCCCTGTTCTGTCACAGCTATACTGAGGGGCCTGAAGAAAAAGGGAATTCAGCAGCCAACACCCATACAGATCCAAGGCATCCCCACCATGTGAGTGCTCTACCTGTCCCAGAGTGGGGAGCAGTGTGAACAGGGAGCTCTTCCCTGGCAGATGCACCCTGTCACCTTGCTTGAGCCCCAGAGGTTTGAGGTGTTCTGTGATGCTGCTTTTCACCACTGGCCCTACTTCTCTGCCAGCCTCTCGGGAAGGGATATGATTGGCATTGCCTTCACTGGCTCTGGGAAGACCTTGGTGTTCACCCTCCCGGTGATCATGTTCTGCCTGGAGCAGGAGAAGAGGCTGCCCTTCTCCAAGCGAGAGGGACCCTACGGACTCATCATCTGTCCCTCGGTGAGTGTCAGCGGTGCTGTGACAAGCATTTGATTGACATTCAGTGGCAATCTCTGATCCTCGCTGCACTGAGGTGCAGGAATGAGTGAGTTCTGTCTCTGCAGCGGGAGCTGGCCCGGCAGACCCATGGCATCATTGAGTACTACTGTCGCCTGCTGCAGGAGGACGGGCTGCCCCCGCTGCGCTGCGCCCTCTGCATCGGGGGCATGTCTGTCAAGGAGCAGATGGAGACAATCAAACAGTAAGACCTAGAGGGGTTTGTGGGGTTGGAACTGTGCTCTGTTTCCTGGTAGGGGACTATGGGGTGGCACTCTAGCTAGATGGCTTCAGGGAAGTGTTGGGGCAAAGGTGATGTGCCCAGCAGGTGCCACATTCCCTATGTGTCCTGCATGGGGCAGGAATTCCCAAGTGTGTGACCATGGCCTTCTCTTGTCTCACAGTGGTGTACACATGATGGTGGCAACCCCTGGCCGCCTGATGGACCTGCTGCAGAAGAAGATGGTGAGCCTGGACATCTGCCGTTACTTGGCCTTGGATGAGGCTGACAGGATGATTGATATGGGCTTTGAAGGGGACATCCGTACCATCTTCTCCTACTTCAAGGTACGGAGCTGCCATGATACCATGATACCAGCACCCTAAAGCTCAATCTCCAAACCATTTGGTTGGGTGAGTGCTAAATCCTTGTCCGCACTGTGTTCCCCATGTAGGGCCAGCGGCAAACCCTCCTCTTCAGTGCCACAATGCCCAAGAAGATCCAGAACTTTGCCAAGAGTGCACTGGTGAAGCCCATCACCATTAATGTGGGCCGAGCGGGTGCTGCCAGCCTGGATGTTGTGCAGGTGAGGTAGTTGGGTGCTCCCCCAGACTGTGTGGGAGGCCACCAATATCTGTGAGGGCAGTTGTTGCGTCTCCCTGCCAGGGAGTTGGGGTTCATAGAATCACAGACTGCTTTGGGTTGGAAGGGACCTTAAGATCATCCAGTTCCAACCCCCTGCCATGGGCAGGGACACCTTCCACTAGACCAGGTTGCTCCAAGCCCCATCCAGCCTGGCCTTGAACACTGCCAGGGATGGGGCAGCCACAGCTTCTCTGAGCAACCTGTGCCAGTGCCTCACCACCCTCATAGTGAAGAACTTCTTCCTAATATCTAATCTAAATCCACCCTCTTTCAGTTTAAAGCCATCCCCACATGTCCTATCACCACTTGCTCTTACAAAAAGAGTCCTCCTTCCCAACAGGTTAAGGGATACCAAGCAATAGCAGTTCCTTTGCTGCCTGACTCACCCCTGTGCTTGTTCTTAGGAGGTGGAGTATGTGAAAGAGGAGGCCAAGATGGTGTACCTCCTCGAGTGCCTGCAGAAGACCCCACCACCGGTGAGTAGTGCACTCTGACTGCTCTGGCAGCATGGGCACAGGTGCCACAGTGGCACGGGTGGAACTGGCAGTGGGGATGTAGGGGCATGCCATGAGCATGAATCTGCAGGACGCTGGCATGTGAGTGAGCTGTGCTCCACATGTGAGCAGGTCCTGTGCCCAGAGCTATTGTGTATTCCCCCCAACGATGGGGAATGGGTTTCTGGGGGGTTGTGCTGGTGCCACGTGGCTTTTCCATGATGTCTGTGCTGCTGCAGGTGCTGATCTTTGCAGAGAAGAAGGCAGATGTTGATGCGATCCATGAGTACCTGCTGCTCAAGGGTGTGGAAGCTGTGGCCATCCATGGAGGAAAAGGTTGGTGAGGGTGTTGGGCAAGCCCAGGTTCTGGTGTGCCCTGCCTGGGGCTGTGTGTGGCTGTGGGGAGGTACCAGTGTGAAGCAGTTTGTGATGGTCTGAGGAAGGGCTTTGAGGTTAGTGGTTGCTGTGATAGGTAGTTCTGGGAGCTCTGCCCTTGCTGATGTTCTCTGCTGGGCCTTTGCAGATCAAGAAGAACGGACAAAAGCCATTGAGGCCTTCCGGGATGGGAAGAAGGATGTCCTGGTTGCCACTGACGTCGCTTCCAAGGGCTTGGATTTCCCAGCCATCCAGCACGTCATCAACTACGACATGCCGGAGGAGATAGAGAACTATGGTGGGGACTGGGACCACAGAGGGTACAGTGGGGTGGGCACAGAGGTCAGCGAGGCTCTGTGCTTGTCTCTGCAGCAGCTGGGGGCAGGGGTAGTCTGTCACATTACATTGACCGAGGCCTAATCCTGTCTCTTTCTGCACAGTTCACCGCATCGGGCGTACAGGCCGTTCAGGCAACACAGGCATTGCCACCACCTTCATCAACAAGGCCTGTGGTGAGAAATGGGGGGGTGGGGGGTGCTGCGGTTGTGAGGGGCAGCTGGGTGCTGGAGCTGCCTGTGACTTGGCTGGGGGTGTTCTGAGCAGGCAAGGACAAGGCATGATGGCCTGTGGAGGGGATATGGTGATGTGAGGCAATGCCCCCACCCCTACCTGGGCTGTGTCTGATCTGTGCCTCTGCCCCCAGACGAGTCGGTGCTGATGGACCTGAAGGCCCTGCTGCTGGAGGCGAAGCAGAAGGTGCCGCCTGTGCTCCAGGTGCTGCACTGCGGGGATGAGACCATGCTGGACATCAGAGGTGAGAGACTCCAGGCTGGCTGAGGGATGTGTGCTGCGGGCAGGATCCCAGCTCCCAGGCCATTCCTGCTGCCTTGAGGCTGTCATTGCCTGCCCTGCTGTGGCATGGAGGGGAGCTGCTGCTGTAGCCCCTCTGCTCTGTTCTGGGCAGGAGGGCCACTCTGCTGGCACGGCACACCTCCCCCTGACCTTGTCACTCCTGTTGCAGGCGAGCGGGGCTGTGCCTTCTGCGGTGGCCTGGGCCATCGCATCACCGGCTGCCCCAAGCTGGAGGCGATGCAGACCAAGCAAGTCAGCAACATCGGCCGCAAGGACTACCTGGCTCACAGCTCTATGGACTTCTAGCCTGGGGAGCCCTCTGCCCATGCCCCACTGCGTGGGCCTTGGCTTCCACTCAGCCTTGGTGCCCCAGCTGCCCCCTTGCCTCTCCCAAGCCCAGGGGCCTGTCCTTCTCTGCCATGGCCCCTTTTCCAGGTAGTTGGCCAGCTCAGCCTGACAAAGCTCCTGCCCCTGGCGGAGCTGTGGAGCTGTGCTGCAACAGCCATGACATCATGGTTGGGTTAAGTCAGCCTTACCTCAGCAATGTTGGGCAAGCAGGTAGCAGTGCCTGAGGGGAGGAAGAAGCCCCAGGAGGGGTAACTGGTCTGTGGCTGGCTGCCTGCTGCCTCTGCAAGCCTCTGCAGTGCCCTGACCAGGGTCTTACCTCGCTCTTCCCCAAAGCCCCTCGATTTCTCCAGGAACATCCCTGTTTTTTGGGCGTTTTCAGCTCGTGGCTTTTCCGTGCCCCTCAAACATGCTCTGATGCCGCTGGGGTAAGGCAGAGCTTGCCCTGATCCTGCTGGGTGGTCCCTGTGGTGTTTCCCGTGCTCTGCCTGCACACGTTCTGCACTACTGCCCTTCTGCGAAGGGGAGGGCGAACAGACAAGACACCTCCTGTGGCCCAGCCTCTGCCCCTCATCCCACACACCAAAAAGGGGAAGTTGTTGAGAGAAGGAAGTCTGCCCCATGCAGTAGTTTCAGCTGCAGCAGTCACATTTTCTCCACTGCTGGCAGCCCAAGTCACCAGTCCTTGCGCAGGGTGCCAGAGCGCTGCTGGGCCCATGGAGAGACCGGTGAAGGATGGGATCCTCTATGTGCAGCACTACAAATTTGGAAAGGTAAAAGGTGGATTGGGGGCTGGGTACAGGGTTTGCCCTGCTCTGTCTTGATGCCACGCCTGGAGCTGGGCCCTCAGTAGCCTGGGAAGGGAGACTGGAGCCAGACCCCTCAGAGCTGCCTGAAGGGGGTCCCAGGGCTCTGCAGTCCCAGGAGCAGGGCTTGTCCTGTGGCCGAGAGGACTCATGCTGCCTGCAGGGTCCCTCTTCTCACTTGGTCACTGTGTGATTGGCAATGAAACAATAAACGTGTGTCACCGAGGCGCAGCCAGCGTGTGTGTGTGGGAGTGGGGCACCAGGGCAGCGTGTGGGATGTGGCTCTGTGCGTATCCCTCCATCAGCCTGGTTCTGGTGGGACACTGCCATTCATGGGGCACCCCTTGTGGCTTGGCCTGCTGCTCTGCACCTTTGGGGTGGGCACTGAGTGCTGCAGCCCTCTTGGTTTGGGATGGGTGATATGGTGGGAGACTCTGCAGGGTCAAGCCAGCTCTCGAGAGGTGCGAGATGGGTGTTAGTGAAGCAGGCCCATCAGTAGCATCCTCTCTTCCCTTGAGGTGTCAGTGGATGTGCTGGGCTGCAACCCCCCTGCTGAGCACTAGCTCACCTTGGAAGTGAAGCGGGCAAGCCCTGTGTGTGTGTGGCTGGTGTCCTGCTGTGTGTGAGGCAGGGGGCTGGCAGTGGTGGGTATTTTGGGTGCTCTGGTTTGTGCAGGGTGGAGGCTCTGATGGTGCTGTTCAGGTGCGTGGGGGCACTCGCCCTCTCCATCCCATGACAGGCTGGGAAGGTGCTGGTGCTGCAGAGCCTCCCCTGGGAGGAAGCGGGCTGCAGGGCCCGTCCCTGCTCCACAGATGTGAAGCTGCCAGCAGGAGCTTTAGCAGCTCAAAATGGCTTTAATTTGCATCAGGGTCTGTCCTGAGCACAGCTCTGAGCTCAGCTGCAGCGGCAGCAGGCCGGCACTTGCAGCAGGGAACAAAGAGCAGGACCTGGTGCTCGGGAGCGAGCGTGACTCATGCAGCGAGCCAGGCTCCCCTCACCCCAGCCTGGGGACTGCCCTGCCCCGCAGCACTGGCCCTGGCTCGCTGGGGACCCCCATGTGCCCCCTCCTGTCCCTTTCCACCCTTCCTGAGCACTGCTGGCCCCGCATGGAATGGAGCACTGTGAACACAGCAGGCAGCTCGTTGCTGACTTGGTTTTCCCTGCCTGTGCCATTCCTGTGCCCCAGAGGTCCTGGAGGAAGATGCGAGCCCAGCTCTTTGCTGCCAGTGCCTCCGGCGTGGCCCGCATGGAGAAGTTCGACGTGCGGGATGATGGCATGATGCTGGAGAAGCCCTCGCTGCGGCAGTGCACCCGCCGGGTGATCCGCCTCTCTGACTGTGTCTCCGTGGGCCCCGTGGGCACAGAGAGCTGCCCCAAAGCCACTGCTGCCTTCTACCTCACCACCACGGAGAAGAGCTACGTGCTGGCTGCCGAGCAGCGCGATGAGTGGATCTCCCAGCTCTGCCAGCTGGCCTTCCAGGTACCACCATGGGGTCCAGTATAGCTGGGAGCTCTTGCGCTGCTCCTGGCTCGAGTGACATGGGGGTTCTGGGTTGTATGGGCAAGCAAGGGGTGCTTGTGCTCCTGCAGTCCAGGGGCAATGCTCACATGCTTCTGTTTTAGGGGACAAAGGAGATGACACAGAGGAACACCAGGACCCAGCCCAGCCCCCCTGTCCCCATGGAAGAGAACGTCCTCTACTCCTCCTGGCAGGACTGTATGTACAGGAGTGGTGTATTGGGCTAGGGTGGGCTCCAGCTCCCTGCTGTGGTGCTGACCACTGCCTTGCTCTGCTCCTGTAGTGACTGAATTCCTGGTGCTGGTGGTCTGGACGGATGCGGCTGCCCGCTGTGGCCTGCGTGGGCACTACCTGCTCTCAGTCCTTCCCCAGAGCCTGACGCTGAAAGACCTGCAGTCCCGCCAGCCCCTGCTCACCTGGCCCTACCCCTTCCTCCGCAAGTTTGGCCAGGATCAGGTGGGTGTCCCCCCTCCCTCCCTGGAGCTGCTGGCTTCTCAGGGTGGATGCTAGCTCCTCACCCTATCCTTTGATCCCACAGACTGTCTTTTCCTTCGAGGCTGGCCGCCGCAGTGACACTGGTGAAGGCACCTTCACCTTCAGCACCCCCCGGGCCCCGGAGCTCTGCCGCGCTGTTGCCGCTGCCATCGCCTGCCAGCAGCAGGGCAAGGACACCCCAGACCCCCGGCTCTCTGCACAGGGCCTCGAGCCCCAGTCCTGGAGCCCTGGGGCTGAGGAGCCCCAGCCCAGCCCCACCCCTGGGGGGTCACAGCCCCCATCCCAGGCCCCTGCCAGCCTTCTCCACTTCTCCCCTGCTGAGCCAGAGGGCACAGGCCCCATCGTCTATGCCTCCATCGCACGGAGCCAGCAGCAGCCCCTGTTTGCAGCAGGGGCGCCGGGCTGCAGTGAGGCCTGGGCTGCAGGGAAGCCGCCCCCTGAGCATCTCTACGAGAACATCTTCTCTGCGGAGCCGGGTCCAGCCAGGGCCGAGGAAGAGGAGAAAGGGCGGTGGGAGCTGGAGTGCCGGCAGGCCCCCGAGGGCCACAGCAGCGAGGCGACCCCCCTCTATGACAACCGGGCAGCCATGACCCAGCTCCCGCGGGGCAGCCCCCAGCAACCCGAGCAGCGCTGGGGCAGGGGGGGGCAGGAGCCGCTGTCTGGACGCGCCGGACACAAGCCCCAGGGCACCCTCCGTGCCAGGCTGGTGCGGCTGCTGAGCCGGGAGGCCCCCGGCCCGCGGGACTGGGCCTGATCGCGGTCTGGATGAGGTTCGGTGGCGCGGGGCGGTGAATAAACAGCCAGGGCAGGACCGGGCGCTTCGGGTCGGTGCTGCGGGAACAGGGTGGGGGCAGCCAGCAGCTCCCCGCTAGGGGGCGCCGCTGTGCTCTCCGCTGCAGGCAGGCGCGCGTGGTGATTGGCCAAGCCGTCGGCCGGCTCCGCCTCCCCTCACCGCTATATAGCGCAGGGCCGGGCAGCGGGGCGGTGCCCGAGTTCGAGTCCCGCGGCTGCCGGATTCCTCCGCTCCCCGCTGTGGCGCCCCCCGCCCCACCGGGGGCCCGCCCGGCCGCGGGTGAGTGAGGGCTGGGGTCCGCGTGCTCTGCCGGGGGAGTGGGGTCATGAGGGGTGCGGGGCTGAGGCCTGGGTCTGGGAGCAGGGGCTTGGTTGGGGTCGGGCCCATGTGGGGCAGGGTCGGGGGCCCCGACCTCGGGAAGGGGGCTCTGTGGGCCGGGATGGGGAGGGGTTCCCCGTGGGGCGGGCTGCGGAGCGGGGCTCGGGGGGCAGGGCTGGCGGCCCGGCCCGGCCGTTCCTCCGGAGCTGGAGAGATGCCCATCGCGGGGCTGCTGGGGACCCTGGCCCAGCCCCGAGGGGAGATAGGGGCTGCCTGCCCGGTCCCGGCGCTTCGGCGCTGGGAATGCCTGACACGCAGCTTCCTCCGGCCCTCCCGAGCGGGGAGCGGGCTGGTGTCGTCTTACACGCCTTATATAGCCCGCACCGGGCCGGCAGAGCGGGGCACGCTGGCCCCCAGCCCTGCGGCGTCCGCCGCCTCCCGGCCGTCCGGTGCGAGGGGCAGGGAGGGCGTGGGCCCCTCTGACCCCGGCTGGCAGCGGCAGGAGGAGGGTGCCGGGGGGCCCGCTCAGGTGAGGGGTGTCCGATGGCTGCGGCTGCCCGGGCCCCGGCCCGCTGACAGCTGTCAGTGTGGCCCTGGCAGGCAGCGCAGCGCCGGGATTCCCTCCCGCCGAGCCCCGGCTCTGAGCGCAGAGATGGGCTCGCTCCCAGGTACCATGTGCTGGGCCAGCTGCCGGAGCGGTGCTCTGCCAGGCGCCTCGGGTGGTGTCCCGCCGCTCCTGTGCTGCCGCTGATCTTCCACCCGGCAAGAACGCTTCTGGTTCCCATCCTTCCCTACCCGCTCCCACTTCTCCGTGGTCTGAAACGGTCTTGGCTTTCAGCAGCGTGAGTTTCTGGGATGCTGCAAGGGATAACAAGTGCCAGGTTTGGGCGAGGGAGGGCAAAGCCAGCGGGTGCTCCGCTGTGAGTGGCAGCGGGGCTATGCCTCACTCTTTGCACTAGTCAGCATTAGTCTTGGCTCTGGCACTGCTGGAGGAGATGCTGATAGATTTGGGGTGCGTCTCTAACCACAGTGTAGGATGGTCAGGGTGGAAACATGACCAGTCTCCTGTCCTGTTGTGTAAGGCACCGGCCCCCCTCCTTGCCTGCTCTCCTTGCATTTTTCCTGTGTATCCTAATGCCAGGATCACACCCTCTTCCCTTGCAGAGATGGGTGACATGGAGTCCTACAAGGTGATGCTGAATGGGCCGGCACCCTGGGGCTTCAGGCTGCAGGGAGGAAAAGATTTCAGCATGCCGCTCTCCATCTCCAGGGTAAGAGAAGCCAAGACCAGTGATACCCACCCTTCCTCCTGCCTCAGGGGGTGGGAAGCCACGGTGACTGCATCCAGGTGGCTGAGGCAGAGATATGTGGGGGATGTATATGAGTTGGGGCCCTGGGAATGCTGCATCCTGCCCTGCTTGGCTCCATGTAGCCTCCTTGGTGCCTTATCAGCTGCAGTCCAGCTCGGGGGTGTTCCGGGCAGAGATGTGAAATGCTGCACGGCCTCTGCAGAGTCATTCCGCTGCTTGGGGGGGCCGGGGAGGCCCCTTCCTGAGCTTGCCCACCGCAGGGGGAGGGGAGCTGCTCTCACGTCTCTGAGCTGTGGGGCCAACGTGCTGGTCTGCACTCCATTGCTGGGCTCCGAGTTCCAGGACCCAGCCTGTGCCCTACTGCCCCCCTGTTGTGTGCTTCCCAGCTCCGCACCTGAGCTGGCCCCTGAAATGGGCAGGGAGGGGAGGAAGCCTGTGCTGGTGCCTGCATGGAGATATGGCTCCCTTTACAGAGCCAGCCAATTTCTGCAGCGTGAGCAAGAGCCGCTGTGCTGCCTGTTGTGGCTGAGGTACCTGGTGTGAGCTGCTCCCGCTGTGATGCTCACCCAAGCCATGTCTGGCTCCTGGCTGTGTGTGTGTCCTTGTCCCTGAGCAGCCTGGTCCCCAGGGTGGGTGCTGGCCGGGGCTCTGGTCACACAATTGCCTTATAAGCATTGGAATGTGACTGCATTGCCCGTGCCGCTGACGCTGGGGCTGCTGGCATGATGCTGCTTTTGCAAGGACCACGTTGCTGGTGGCACCAAGCGCTGTGTGGGGCCTGCCCCTGGCAGGAGCCTGGCACCGTGTGTCTGTCCCAAAGAGCACAGGTCTCTGCAGCATCCCACACAGACCCTGAGTGCTCTGTGCGAGGCTGGAGCTGCCAGTGCCGCTGCCCCGGGGCCTGTGAATCAATGCTGAGCACAGAGACGGCTTCAGCGGGTTTATGCGCTAAAAAATGTTTCCCTTGGCTGCGAGCCAGGGTTTAACAAAGGGTCTGGTTGGATGGAGGAGCCTCCCAGGGCAGGGGCCTCGTGAAGCAACATCCCCGCTGTTCAAGCAGTCCAGCACTGCCCTCGGGGCTTGGACACTGCTGCTGTCCTGGGCAGGGCATGCAGGAGCAGTGAGGATGTTCCCAAGGGATGTGGCCAGCTTTAGCTGTGCTGTATGTAGGGACGTTGGCCCTGTCTTGTGGGAAGGGGTGACCCTGCACCCCAGAGGCATCCCCAGCCCTAAAGCTCCTGCCCAGAGCACACTGCTGTCCTTGGCCACTGTTTCCCTTGAGCAGGGAGCCGGCTGCACTGGCAGGCCTAGGGCTGCTGGAGCAAGCTGGAAGGAAGCGTCCTACCCTGGCTTTGAGAGCTGCAGTGGGGCCCTGCTCTGTGGGGCAGGGGAGCACATGGGGACAGCAGCACTGGTGAGTGCTTTGGCTCTTGGCTGTGTCCATCACCATGACACTGCTGGGTGAGCTGCGAGGCTTCTTCAGCTCGGTGGTCACATAAAGGAAGTGCCACCCTGGTCCTCTGCATATTTCTTGCATGGTAAGGGGCTCTGCTGGGGTCCTGACACCTTGGCTAGACAAGCTGCAAGAGCCTGCAAGGTCCTGAGCTGCTTGTAGTGGAGCCAGGGTAAGGGCTGGTGTCTGGGGGCTTGGATGCTGTGTGGAGGAGAGACCCTTGGTGCTGCTAGCAGGACAGTGCTGGGGGATGCTTCCTTGGCCGCAGTGCAGGTGCCTCACTCCCCTCAGTGCTGTGTGAGGCCCTGTCTGGGTGCCCAAGCCAGGGACACCTTTCTGGATGTAGTGATGGAGGCACTGGGGAACAAAGGGCTGGCTGGGTGGAGGGGGAGGAAGGAAGCCCTGGAAGCAGGAGGGCTGGCACTGCCATGGCTCCTGCCTGAGCTGGCACCTGCCGAAGGGGTTTCCTGGCGCGGGAAGGGCAGCGTGGCAGGCTGGGTGCGGTGTGTGACGCAGCCTTTGAGCTCTCCCCTTCCCGTGTAGCCCTGTGAAAACCTCTCCCAGATCCCATTCCTGCTTCCAAACCTATGCAGTCACCTCGTGCCTTCCCCAGCCCTCCAGGGCAGCAAGATGGGGCTTGCAGCGGTGCGGCCGAGAGCCGGCCGGCGCCACTTCATGCCCAGGGCACCCTGCGGTGCTGGGCAGGAGGAGCGGGTGCTGGGTGGTACAGGGACACAGGAGGAGGTACCTGTGTCCTGTGGGGTGGCAGTGGGATGCAGGTGGTGCCAGGCCGCATCCAGCCTGGTTGTGGGGTTTGGGCTCTCGTGGAAGACCTGTGCTGACGTGGGGAAGGAGAGCACAGCTCTGGGACAAGCAGGGCCCCGTGCATGGGCAAGGAGGGGCTGGGGCTCGTCGCAGGGTTTTCTCAGCCCTCTGACAACGCTGGGAATCTGGCTCGCTCCTTTTATGTTCATGTTGAACAGGACTTGAGGAAATACTTGGTCTGGGTCCAAGCGCCTCAAGTTCTTCTGTGCTGGAGGAGCAGGAATGGCTGCAGCCTACCCACGTCTGTCTGTCTGTCAGTGCCTGCGAGCTGTGTGCGGTGCTCGGGGCCCTGCTCACCTTCCGCTGTGCATCCCCGGCGGGAGGGGAGGGCAGCCTCTGCTTCCCAGCACGGGGCTGACGCAGCGCCGTGCCACAGAACCGTGCTGGGGACAAGGCACATCCCCGGTGCAGGGGAACCCGTGGCCGTGCTCACAGGTGCCCCAGCGGGGTGAGGCCTCAGGGAGCTGTGTGGGTCGGGGTTGGTGTCTCCCTGCCCTGGGGAGTGCTCCCACTGTGGGAATGAGGTAACGTCTGCACCAGGAGGGAATGGGACGTGCGCCTGGGGGCTGCCTCCCCTGTCCCAGCGCTCGCCCCGGGCGATGAGCTGGACGTGCCTGTGGTTTGCAGCCAGGCGTGGGCTGTCCGGCGGGTCCTGACTCACTGCGCTCGCTTCCCACCGCCCGGATGGCTCTGAGGAGTGGCCGGGCCTCCTGCCGGGGCTGAGGCAGCACCGCTTCTGCCGTTCGGTGTCATGGGGACTGGGCCCCGGGGTGCTGTCATGGCCCCCGCTGTGCCAGAGGGCAGGGTGGGCAGCGCTCAGTGGAGGGGCCAGTGGGCTGGGAAACGGGGGTGATGCGTGGGTCCCTACTTACCCCTCATCAGGCTTGTATGGGTGTCCTTAGCTGGGACCCAGCAGATCCCTGCTGTCAGGAGGACAGGGCTGTCCCTGGGCTCCCACATCAGCCGTGCTGGCTCTCCCTGATTCTGTCTGTCTTTCAGCTGACACCGGGCGGGAAGGCGGTGCAGGCTGGTGTGGGAGTGGGCGACTGGGTGCTGTACATCGACGGAGAGAGCACCAGCTCCATGACACACATCGAGGCCCAGAACAGGAT